GCATGTTTGTCATGATTAAAGAACCAATAGCATGACCCTGTTAGTAACCAGAGTCCACAGTTCATTCACATTTCCGTGGTTCTTATGTAGAGTCCCTTTCCATTGTAGGATCAGCCCCATCCACTGGCTTCCTGTCGCAGGCTGCTTTGGTTCCTCGGGCTGTATGCATTTCAGACTTTGTTTGGCGTCGATGACTGACATTTGGAGAAGAGGACCGCGAGCCATTCTGTCTGGTGTTTCCCTCGTGATTACACTGGGAGTAAGGGTTTCGGGAAAGCCATGGAATAAAGTGCCATCCTCCACAGGCCCCATTGAGGGTATGTGCTGACATTGACCTTGGTCCCCTTCTCCCCACCCCCGCAGCAACTCTGCAGCAGCGATTCCGGGTGAGGGGTCAGGCACCATCTTCACCGGGGACGAGGACAGTTGGCATTCCTCTTCGTGGCAGGCTTGTTGGCCCTCCCCTTGCCTGCCGTTGTAGATGCATGGCTGTTCATCCCGCACACTTGGTTACAATCCAGTACTATATTTTGTGCTCAGACTGCCCCAGCTGTAGCTATTGGGAGCTCTCTGCTTTGTTTCCTGTGTCCCATTCACATACCCTGACCAGTGTGACTTTTAAAAAGTACTCTTACTTCCTGGCACCACGAGATGCCGCAGGCTCACAGTGCCTATTTCCTGACCTGGTCCTAAAATCTGCCCCTTCCCCAAGAAGCCTGGCCCCTCAGTGAACCCAGTAAGGGAATGTGTGTACGCCAGCTAACTCGTGTGTACACACACGTCCATGAACGTTTCGCCCGATTGCTGTCCTCACCTCTCTACAGCTAAAGGCAATTCTGACCGAGGTCTCTGGTGAACCCGCCAGCACACAGCTCAGTGCAGCCTGCCTCTCTTAGCTCTGACACTCGTCCACTGTCATTTACTCACTGACTAGTTCCGGAGCACACACGGTGGTTGGCTGGGGGATTGATAAGCCACACGCCCTTGTGGCAAAGCCCATAGCCCTCTCCAGGGGACGCTGGCTGTCGAGCCTGGTAGGACACAGGGAGCGCAGATGGATCCTCTGCTCAGGACAGTCCCTTGAGAGAAGCTTTCCCCTGGAGCCAGGGTACTAGTCTAGGTGGGGGCTCTGAGGGCCGCGATGTGGGTGCCTCCTGCTGGACGCCCCTGCGGCGAGGTCTGACTGCGGGGAAGACACTCTGGTTTGTCTTGTTCTGTCTTCATTTGGGAGGATGTCACTGCAGCACACCTTTGGGCGCTCTCGGCTGACCTGTGCTGTTACCATCGTGGTGTGTCTGAAGGGAAACGACTGTTTGAAGAGACTATATGATAGTTTCATGCAGAGAGGTTACATTTAAAAGTCATTTTAAAATTGTTCTTGGACTGAGATGTATAATGGATGGTGGGAAACAGGAAGAAAGTGTTCAAATGGGAAGGGGAAGAAGGGAGGAGGGAGGGAGAAAGGAAGGCAAGAAAACAAGTGAAACTAGAAGGAAAAAAGTGGAAACAGAGCTTCTGTACATAGGGAGGGGAGGGAGCTTGGGGGAGTGGGGTAAAATAAAATAAAATTTCATTTAAAAAATAAAATTGTTTTTTATTTGTGTAGGGCTGAGGATGGATCCCAGGGACTCGTGCCTGCCAAGCAGGTGCTCTACTGCCATGCCACATCCCCAGCTAAAATCGATTTCCATTGACAAATAATAATTGTGTGTATTTGTGGCATACAGTGGGACATTTTGATCCATGTAAACATTGGACAGCAATTCGTGAAGCTAACGAACCAACTTATTTCGTGGTAGGACCATTAAAGGGACATTCTTTTAGCAATTGTGAAATATACAGTACATCGTTATTGTGGTCACCATGCGGCCTATCTAACTGAAATTGTGTTTACTTCGGTCAGCATCTTTCCTCTCCCCATCCCCAGCCTCTGGTACCTACCTTTGTACTGTCTTCTGTATATGAGTGAGGTCATCCCATACAGGGTTTGCCGTTCTATGCCCAGCTCATTCCACTTAGCACATCTTTCAGCTCCACCCATGTGGTTGAAAATGACAAGACTTCCTCCTTTTTAAAGGCTCCATAATATCCATTTTGTATATATACCACATATTTTTAAGGTACTGGGGATTGAGCCCAGGGCCTTTGCACTGACCTACACCTCCAGCACTTTTTAAAATTTCTTCTTTTGAGACAGGGTCTCATTAAGTTGCCCAAGCTGTGTTTGATTCAGGAGCTTCCCGCCTCAGCCTTCCAAAATGCTGGGATTACAGGCCTGTACCATCAAGCCCAGTTTATCCTTCCCTCCCTCCCTCCCTCCCTCCCTTCCCAAACCCAGGGCCTCGTACATGCTAGACAAGCACTCTACCACTGAGCTACATCCCCAGGGCAGGGTCCTGCATTTTCTTTATTCATTCATCTGTTGATGGACACCTGAGTTGCTAACCTTCCATAGCTTGGCTTAGAAATCTTGGCTATTGTAAATCGTGTTGCGTTAGAGATGAAGGGAACTTGTTGTTTTGGCTTCATGATTTCAGTTCCTTTGGCTATATTTGCAGAAGTGATGTTGCTGAATGCAGTGGTAATTCTATTCCCAGTTCTTTCAGTAACCTTCGCACTAATGTCTGCAGTGGTTGGATGAATGTACATTTCCCCCGACAGTGGAAAAAGGCTCCCTTTTCAGTGCATCCTTAGCAACACTTGTTATCATAGCCCCTCACCAGGTGCAAGATGACACCTCACTGTGGTTTTAACTTGCATTTCCCCGAAGATTAGAGATGTGGAGGATATTTTCATTTATCTCTTGACCATATCGCTTCTTTCGAGAAAGGTCAATTGAAGCCCTTTGCTCATTTTTTAATTGAGTCATTTGTTTCCTTTCCATCAATTTTGGGTGTGACCTACAAATCTTTTCTCCCAGCTCATGGGCTGTCTCTTTATTCTATTGTATCCCTTGCTGTCCAGAGCCTTTTAAAGCTAGTATTTGTTCCTGTATCTGTTGGCGACCATGTGGATTTGGGGCTTCATTCTGTGGTATGTTACATGTTTTGATTTTTGTATGATGCTTGTATCCCTGGGATAGAGTCCACTCAATACTGGTAAATGCTATTTGTAATATGCTGTTGAATTCTGTTTGCTAGTTCTTTGTTGAGAATTTTGGCAGTTGTGTTCATCAGGGATATTGGCCTGTAGTTTCCTTGTCTGCTTTTGTTACAAAGATAATGCTGGCCTTGGAAACTGAGTTTGGAAGGACACCCTCATTTTCAGTTTTTTTGTACTGTGAGGAGGGTTGGCTCTTTGAACATTTGGTAGAATTCATCAGTGGAACCATCTGGTCCCTGGCTTTTTCCTTGATAGGGCAGTTGATATTACTGATTTCATCTTCTTACTCATTTTTGCTCCATTCAGATTTTTTTTATTTCTTCCTGATTCAGTCTTTATAGGTTGCATGATTCTGGAATTCATCCATTTACTCCAGGTGATTTCAGTTTTTGGTGTGTGGTTGTTCATAGTACTCTCTTACAGTTCTTTAAATTTCTGTGATATCCATTGTAATGTCTCCTCTTTTATTTCTGATTTTGTTTACTTGGGTCTTCTTTCTATTTTTGTTAGCCTAAATAAAGATTTGTTTATTGTATTTTGTTTTTTTTTTTTTTGGTACTGGAGATCGAACTCGGGTCCTTGCATTTGCGCAGCAGGCAGCGAAACCACTGAGCTAAATCCCTGGCCCTATTGTATTTTTTTAAACATCAACTTTTGCTGGGGATAGTGGTGCACATTTAGAATCCTAGCTACTTGGGAGGCTGAGGTAAGCAGGAAGATCACAAGTTAGAGGCCATCCTGGACAACTTAGTAAGACTGTTTCAAAATACAAAGGGCCAGGAATGTAGCTCAGTGGCAAAATACCCCTGGGTTCAATCTGCAGTATTATAAAATGGAAAAAAAAACCCAGCTTTTAGTTTCCTTGATTTTTCAATTGGTTTTCTAGTCTCTCTTGTTTATTTCACGCGTGCGTGTGTGTGTGTGTGTGTGTGTGTGTGTGTGTGTGTGTGTGTGTGTGTATTGAAACAGGGTCTCACTATGTAGTTCAGGCCGGCCTCAAAATCACGATGATCCTCCTGCCTCAGCCTCCCAAATGCTGGGATTACAGGAGTGCACCACCACACCTGGCTTTCTTCTGTTTATTTCTGCTCTGTTCTTTATTTCCTTCCTTCTGCTAAGTTTGGGCTTTACTTGGTTCTTTTGTTTCCTTGTTCTTTGAGGTATGACATTAGGTTTGTTTGAGGTTTTTGTCCTGTTTTTACATAGGCATTTATTGCTATCAGCTTCCCTGTTTGGACTGCTTTTATTACATCCCATTAATTTTGGTGTGTTGTATTTACATTTTTTGTTTCAAAAAATTTTTAAATTTCTCTTTTAATTTCTTCTTTAACTTACTGGTTTCTCAAGAACATGTTTAATTTCCACATATTTGTGAGCTCTCCAGGATTCATCCCATTGTTGAAAAGCTACTTGATAGGATTTTGATCGTAAATTTGTTGGGCCTCATTTCTGCAGGTATTGAACAGAGTGTTCTGCACATAGCTGCTGGACTCATTGGTCGGAAGCACAGCGTTTCCTTATTGATTTTCTACTTAGATCATCTGTCTAGTGTTGAAAGTGGGTACTGAAGTCTCTTACTGCATCTCTTTTCATATCTATTAATGTTTGCTTTGTATATGTTGGTGCTATGATGTTGGCGGCATATAGATCACGGTTGTAACTTCGTGATGATTCACGCTTTTATCATCATATCATGACCTTCTTTGTCTCCTTGTACAGCATTTGACTTAAGATGTATTTTTTCTGATATGAGTACAGCTATTCTCACTCTGTTTCCATTTGCAGGGAATATCTTTTCCCATCCATTCATTTTCTGAAGAGAATTGACCATGTGAGGAGAACATTCTTTTGTTTCATGCAAAGATAGTTAAATTTTAAAATTCTCTTTTTATTTTTAGGATCTGGGGACTCAAGAGATGAATTGAACCTTGAGCATGGACTTCCAGAAACTTCCTCTGTGAAGCGTGAGTAATAAACCAGACCCTTAAAGCCAACAATAGTAATTATTATGGACCACCTACTTAGGATGTGCAGCGAGGAAAACAACGGCTAGCCTAGATTTTGCTGGCTTGGGTGAAGCAGTCATCAGGAATTAGAGCACTTCAAGCAAATGCACATACACAGTCCTCTGTCCAGGAGGGCCCTGCTGCAGTGGGGTGGCATGGTGTGTCCATCCCAGTGAGGGCTCTGTGCTGTTGTGTGCATCTGTATCCCGAGATTCCTGGCGGGTTATGGAGTCACCTGTGTAGGATTGCACAGCTTGCTTTCTTCCTTCAATGTGTATCGAACCCAGGAGAGAGTCTGTCTGCCTGTAGTAGATTGTTCCAGTTGCCATAAGGAAACCACAGCATATGACCTAAGACAGCAGAACCTTATCCTCTCGCAGGTCTGGAGCCAGCAGCTCCAAGTCCAGTGGCAGCAGTGCCATGGCCCTCCCAGGGTGCTCTAAAAGACCCCTTCCTTTCTGGTGCTGCTCTGCTTCCTGGCTACCATAAACTAAGCAGCTTTGCTTCACCATGGCCTTCTGTGGTGATGCTCCTGGCCTGGAGCTGCCCACCCCCAGACCAAATCCTCTGAAACCATAAGCCATCTCTAAGCTGTAGGTGACAGGCCTCATGGCCCAGTGCCGGAAAAGCTGACTAATCCAGGCATGGGGATGACTTTTATTCCAAGTGTAAGAAGATGTTCCCACAGGATTTTGAAACAATTTTGCTGGGATAGGGATACCATTCACAGACCAGTGATTGATCCAGGATAGGGGTTTCTTTAGCTCATGGTTGTGGAGGCTGGGAAATCCAAGATCCAGGTGCCCACAGACTCAGTGCCTGGCAAGGGCTGCTCTCTGCTTCCTAGCCCGCACCTTCCATGTGCTCACGTGGTGTGTGGAGCACAAGAGCTGCCTGAAGCCTCTTTCTTTGTTTTTTTGAGACAGGGCCCTTCTATGTAGTTGAGGCTGGCCTTGAACTCTTGGTGATCCTCCTGCCTCAGGCTCCACCACACCTGGCTAAGGCTTCTTTCATAAGGACACTGAAGCCACTCATCAGGCAGAGCCTAATTATGTCCCAAAGGCCCGATGGCTTAATGCTGTCATTGTGGAGCTGGGCTTCACCATCGGCATTCTGGGGAGACCCAAATTTTCAGAGCATAACAAACACCCTCCTGAAGCCACCCCGGGGACCCAGGATCCCTGCTACTGTTCTTGTAGAGAGTCCTTCCTAGGAGGACCTTGCTGCCAGAAGCATTTGCTGGGTAGGCAAGAACTTTTCATTTTGATAAAGGCTTCATAGAAACTGGTTTCTTTATTCGAGGAGCACACTACTTGGATGGCTGACCTGCTCTTCTTAATCCCTGATAAGTAGCTAGACGTGCCTCATCTCTGTTAGCGATGATAGGGGCTCCCATTCAAAGACTCATGCCAAGAAAATCTAGGGTTGGTCATCCAGGCGCATGCGATTATGAGTGTGTGAGCTCCGTTGTGTTTGTGAGTTCTGACTACAGAGTGCTGGGTACACAGGTGGTGCTCAGCAAATATTACATGGGTTGCTGTAGGCGGTGGTGATTAGAGTTTCCGGACTCCTTTTGGGCCTCAGACACCTGGGAGGCAGGATAATGTAGTCCAAAAGGCTCACTGGAGGTCCAGCCTCGCCCCTAGGCACCATGTCAGACAGTGATCTAGGTGAGGATGAATTTCAGGTCTCCTGCCCCTGGCGGGCAAGAGGAAGCGCAGGGGGAACCTGCCCAAGGAGTCAGTGAAGATCCTCCGGGACTGGTTGTACTTGCACTGCTACAACGCCTACCCCTCTGAGCAAGAGAAACTGAGCCTTTCCGGACAGACCAACCTCTCAGTGCTGCAGATATGTAACTGGTTCATCAATGCCCGGCGGCAGCTCCTCCCTGACATGCTGCAGAAGGATGGCAAAGACCCTAATCAGTTCACCATTTCCCGCCGTGGGGGAAAGCCTCAGATGTAGCCCTCCCCTGTGGTAACAGCCCCTCAGTGCTGGCCGTCTCTGTACCAGCCCCCAGGAATGTGCTCTCCTTATCTGTGTGCTCTGTGCCGCTCCACTCAGGCCAGGGGGAAGAGCCAGCAGCTCCCTTCCCACAAGGGGAGCTAGAGACCCCTAAGCCCCTGGTCACCCCAGGGGGTACACTAACCCTACTGACCAGGGCTGAGGCTGGGAGCGCCACAGGTGGACTTTTCAATGCACCACCACCCACACCCCCAGAGCAGGACAAGGAGGACTTCAGCAGCTTCTAGCTGCTCGTGGAAGTGGCACTGCAGAGGGCCGCTGGGATGGAGCTTCAGAAACAGCAGGACCCAGCACCCCCATTACTGCACACTCCCATCCCTTTGGTCTCTGAGAACCCCAAGTAGGCATCTGCCAGTAGGGGTGCTCAAGGCTTCAGCCAGCTATTCTGGGTTCCTGGTTTGCTTCCTTCCTACAGAGGGTTTTCTGTGGATCAGTGCCAAGCATCAGGATCATCTCCTCTGTCCAGACATCTTTAGCAGGAAGGTGCCCTCTGGCATCACTGCATTATGATGGGAACCTCTCCTGTGCTGACTCTGCCATTTCTCCAGGCCTCCTCAGTGATGAGACTAAGGGATCGGAGACCCGCATGGTGCTGCTGCTTCTCCAGAGAACCCCAGGACGCTTGTTCCAGCCTGCTGTCCTGGCCTGGGCTCAGGAAACCTGCCAAATTCAGATCTCTCTGGGTCCAAGCTGCTGCTGAGCTGTGCCTCTTTCTGTCAAGCCAGGTGTGGACATTCCAAGTTTATAAGTGTGAACAAAAGAGGAACCCAGCAGACGTAACAGGACCAACTCCAGTTGAGTGTTTAGGTGTTTGCTAAACTGTTAAGCTTTTCCTTTTTGCTGTGGTTTGCATTAATAGCAGTAGTTATCCCAGGTGTGGGGAATGACAGCATTGCATGATAGTCTGATAAACTGAGAATTATCCACCACTGCAACTGAGGATTGTTGTATAAGGAAGGCGTATTTGTCATTTTGGGGACCAGCTAAATTTCTGCAGTAGCACAAAATTCCATATGGTTGTTTTGGTGTTGGTTTACCACCATCACCCCCTGCCACCTCTGGAAAAAAAGCAGGGAGGAAAAACACATGGGCACTGGCTTTTTTGCACTAGCCACTGAAGAGGATAAAGCCACAGCCAAGGGAGACCCTAATCTGACAAAACCTAGATTTAGAGCAGAGAATGAGAAAACCAGAGAAGTTTTTGTTTTTACTATGTGTGTGGGGTAATGGGATGTAAACTAGACTAAGACAGTGGGGTTTTTTTCTTTCATTTTAATGTTTTCCCCTTCTTTGTTCTTCAAGGCTTTGTCTACAGCCTGAGTCCTGAATCCTTTTAGGAACTTGGCTAGAACATCAGAAGCTCTAGCATTCCCTTCTTGGAGAGAAGTGAGCCATCTGCTGGTCAGGAAGCCCTTGTAGCTACTCCAGTAGGCAGCTTTTCCCACAGCCAACGCAGGAAGGAATTCCTGGAGGAAGCTGGGAGTAGTGCCTACACCTGGGGCTGAAAATGGGTTAACAGCTTGATACTGTAGCTTTGAGTACCTTTGTTTCACCTTTCTGTAAGTTGGAGTTGCAGGGCTTGCCTGAATTTCCTAGTGAAACGTATCATAGTTGGTCTTCATCTCCCTCTTTTTTTTGCTGTTTCATTGCTGATAGTGTTCAACAGCAGTATACCCCATCTTTATATATTCTAAGAAACACTAATCTTAGATTTTTTTATTAGCCAGCATATTTTTGTTCTTAATAACATTACCAAAAATTACACCAGGAGTCCTGGTCTGTAGTCTCCTGAAATTGCCAGGTTGGGCCCAAGGGGAAGGGGTTCCTGGGTGTTGACCGACTTGGGTGGGCCTGGCCAGAAGAAAGGCAGAACGTATCCTCTGTCTTTTTAGGAGGACCCTGGTGCCCTCAGGAAAGCTCCCCCACCTCTCTTGAGTGGCTTGGCCCATCCCTTGCTTGTGAGAGTGGGAATAGTTGTTGTTGTTGTTGTTGTTTTAACTGAAAGGGAGTTCTGCTCTCTGGGTGGGCAAGATTCCCGAACCTTCTGCTCCACCTCCAGTCCCTTTTTCCTGTTCCCCAGGGGGTCAGGGATCCTCATATCCTGAGGCTTAGCTGGTAAAGGGTAAACATGGCAGCTTCAGAGCTAGTTGAAGCTGCTGTCTGCCCATGTTGTCCAACCCAGCCATGTCTGTGAGCAAGCCCAGGTCCATTGTGACCGTTGCAGGGTGCCCCATAGCAGGGGACTTAAGTATATTGGGCTGAAGGCTGAATGGGATTTTCCCTTCCCACAGAGCACTGAGCAGGGGAGGTGATGAGGGGTGAGGGAGCCATGCTGCTGAATTCTGTTGGGATTCCCCTCTTAAGTAAAATGAGGTGTCTGCGGGGTGGGGCAGCCTCTGCTTGGAGTTGGTTAGAAGGTACACCTGGAAGAGAAGCAGTTGTCTTGTTCAGTTATTTGAGCAAACAACTACTGTAAATAACTTGTTTTGTCTTTGTCAAATAAAGTTGTTTTGTTTTTATTTTTAAAAAAGTCTAGGGTTAATAGTGTCTTTATCTTGTGTATGTGTGGCCGGGGAGGAGTTGAGACAGTGTCTTGCTGGCCTTGAACTCACTCTGTAGTCCAGGCTAGCCTTGAACTTGCAGCAGTCATCCTGCCTCAGCCTTGCAAGTGCTAGAATGGCAGGTTTATGCTACTGTGCCCTGTGTAGTTTCTTTAAAAGTCCATCATTGCAAGCTGACGTTGTGCATGAGAACAGGCTAAGCCTCTGACAGCAACTGCTCCCAGTGCCTGTAAGGACCGTGCTCTCTCAAAGTGGTCTGTGCAGATCTTCGGAGGAACCAGACTTTTCCAGAAGCCACGCTAGGCAGGGCAGGCAGCATGGAGCAGCAGGAGACGCTGACATCATGCGCATCAGTGGAACAGAACTGAGGGG